ATGAATATGTATTTACTGCAAATGTACCACGATACGTGGACGACTGGATTTTTCCATAGCAATAACGATTCGCACGATTTTTCAAAATATTTTTTTTAAGTAAGTGATTTAAAACCGGTGAATTTAAAACTAAACAACAATTAAGCTGACAGGATCTTAAATATACTTAAAGGGGTTGTTTAAAACAAACCTTTGAAAGCCTTTGTTTTAAAGAAATTTTCTTTTTATAGTTTTCTCTTAAAAAATGAATCTTATTTTTTTTTACTTTATATTTACATTACGTCGGATGTGTCGATCGCCGCGGCTGTAAACGAATTGAACCCTTATTATTATGTATATATATATGTACACATTTACATATACATTATTTTTCTATCATAACATAATATAAATGCATAAAAACTTTTTTGGCTACTTACGTTTATGAATAAAACCTAATATAAAAAAAGTAAAACGTTTCAGTCGGTATAAACCGATTAAATTATACCTTGCATCTGTCATATTATTTTTCAAATATTTAAAATTACCTTTTGGACTTATATGGCAGCTACTCGAACCTGTCAAGCAATTTCAGCAAAACTTCAGAAATATATCTGACCTATAATTGGACACACAACTGCCAAGTTTTATGAATCTCACTATTATTTTTCTAAATATTTAAAATAAGCTTTTAGAGTTGTATGGCAGGTACCCGAACCCGTCAAGCAATTCAACCAAAACTTTAGAAATATATTTGAGCTACAATTGGACACACGACTGCCAAGTTTCATGAGTCCCACTTTATTATTTTTTTAAATATTTAAAATTAGCTTTTGGAGTTGTGTGGCAGGTAACCGAACCTGTCAAGTAATTCCACTAAAACTTCAGAAATATATTTGAGCTACAATTAGACAAACGACTGCCAAGTTTCATAAATCTGACTTTATTATTTTTCTAAATACAAAAAATTTGCTTTTGGAGTTGTATGCCAGCCACCCGAATCGGTGCAGTCATCGTATTAAAATTAGAGCATATGTAGAATGTAATTGGCCACACGTATACAAAATTTCATATTTATACCTTTATTAGTTTTTGAAATGTTTAAAAGAAACTCTTTGAGTCAGCTACCCGAACCCGTTGTCCGAATTAGTCTAATTACAATAGGATTCATCCTTTTCACAAAAGAAAAAGCTTGTGAAAAGCTTATGGTATCGACTGTATTATTCGTTTTTGAGCTATCGTGCGATGGGACGGGCGGACGAACATGTCTAAATCAATGCAGAACTTTACGCTGAGCAAGAATATGTATATGTATATATGTCCATAACGCAGATGACTCCTTCAAGTAGTTACAAACTCCACACGAAAGTAAATATACCCTTCACGAAGTGCAGGGTATAAAAAACTTTTTTGAGTGTTACTTTATTTCATATGCCTTAATATGATTCATGCACGAATATATTCTTATAAAAAAATATATTCTTTGCTGATTTTATTCTTTTGCAGAAAATGATTAACAAAACAATAATAGACAGGCTTATTAAACTTATGAGAAAATAAACATAACACAAAAATAAAAAAGTTCTGCAACAAATCTGCATATAATTTATAATATGATATGCATACATACCAAGATGTTGGCAGAATTTAGAATTATTTTTTCTTGTTTTTTTTTTCGTTTTCTTTTTCTATGTTATTCCTGTGAAGATAAAGAATATAAGCGAAAGTACTCGATGGTTTCGCCGTCGGATTTGGCTTGTATAATATAATCAGTGTTGTTAAGTTCAACTTGTTTTTCAGTAGTAAGTATTTGGTCTCAAAAAAGTAGTATGGAGAGCAATACCGTAGTTATTTGCGGCTATCATTAACACCAAATAAAAAGTAAGGCATCAGGCTAAATGGACGCGTAGCAGGAAGAACTTGTGCAAAAATAGTTTTATACCTGTACATTTTAAATCAGGTTACCTAATGCAGCTAAGCGTCTAAGCAACGTATATATTGATATTTCCGACTTTGGCAACGATAGGTACATTTTTTTTCTGTTTTTTATTTTTTTTTTTCTGATTGTCAAATTAAAGTGATTGCTGTTAATTTACATAATATTATGTAAAGCGCGTGCTCAAAAATTAACAATATAAAGTTTTTTTGGGAAATAATTTTGAAATTTAGAAAAACAAAAAAATATAATTTTTTTTGTTGTACAAATGGTTTTTGTGGCATGAACAAAAACAAATAATCACATTTTCTAGTAAGAAGGCAAAAAAGTAGTAAAAATGGCTTTGTAGTAGTACGGTACAATTTTAATAAAATTAACAATACTGAATATACTATAGATATTAGCCTTAGTAATTTGCTAGTGTTTGCCAGATTTTTGGAAAGGAAAATGGAGTCAATCTTATCCAGCATCACCATCGGTTTGTAAATGAAGAGTTTTATGTCGCGGCATATTTTCTATTTCTTTGTCTGCACGAATTCTGTATTTTAATTTTATAAATTGTGTATTACTTACTTTTAAATTTTTATACATATTAGCTTTAGTTTGGTGTCGATATATGTACAAATACACATACTTAATTCACAATAACTTTCATGTTATTCAAATTCATGTAAAATTATTTACAAATATTTTATTATTTCTGAAATTGATCCGCATAAATTTCAATATTTTTTACCGACCGCATTGTGTATACAGTAGAGTAGGTTATGTGACGGAACAAATATTGCATATCAAGTTTTCGGTGTAAACGCACTTCTTGGTAGAGAAGTGTAAGTAAACTATTTTTAGCAACCTGTCGGTCCGTCGGTCTGTCGGTCTGTGTGTGCATGCGTGTATCTCAAGTTCGGCTGAACCGATTTTGATGAAATTTTATATACAAGTTTATTTCCACCATGGCATGGAATGATCAACTTTTGGTATATATCAGGCCTCGGGAACTGCACTTTTTAGCGCACCTGTTTTACATTTTTCAACATTTTGAATAAAATATTCAACAGATTTACTTGAAATTTCACATATGAAATTTGACCGTCCGCGAAGCCTCCTAACTTTTGGAAAAAAATCAGGTGTCAGCAACTGCACGTTTACTACGGGCCAACAATACATTTTTGCGTATATAAAGAGATATAATTAACCGATTTCATTGAAATTTAATATTTAAATTCTTCATGTTAAAACAATGAACATATGAATTCTTTTTGGAAAGATCAAGGCTCGGAAACTGATCTGAAAGCCGATTTTACATTTTTTACCATATCTACGAAACGGATTGATGGAATTTCTTGAAATTTGATATTTGATTTCTGGTTGTTACCGAAACTAACTGGCGAGCATTTCAGAGAACTTGGATAGCACAAAGCGAAACTCTACTAAGAGCCAAATTTACATTTTTCTGGGTATGTTAACTAAAAGTTTACAAATGCCCTAGAAATTGGAAAAAAAACTATTTAACAAGCATTTTTATAATATTGTAACACTTTCACTTAGCTAAACGATAGGCATTGCGGTCCCTTATCAGATTATTTTTTATTTTCATATAAGAAACTAATTTTGGGACTCAACTTTTAAGAATAAAGAATGGAGTTGGTTTTGAGGATTCGAAGCATTAGAATTAGAATGTACCTTTGTTAACTAATTTTTAGTCAACCAACAAAAAAAAACTTATTTTCTTTCCTAAAATGGGTATTAGGGTAGTTTTGATTTAAGATGACAATATACATGTGCTTACTTATGTATATAAAGTTAATTAAGATCAAAGTCATCTTAAGATCTTTTTGAATCTAAAAAATTGTAATTAAATTTCCATCTTATTTGCCACTTTTGTACTTATACACTAGTTTTTTCTAAATACATACTCGTAGGTACACATATGTATATGTAAATATCATAATATTGCCATAAATTTTTTATAAAATATAGAAATTCCCAGTAGCTTTAGTAATATGTAAATAACTTGTTATTTGTACAACAAATAAAACAAGTTGGAACTGTGATGAAGAGAAATAAATAAAATAAAAGTAAAGTTTTTGATTCCTATCGAAATTTAACCGGAATAAAATTAATGTTAAAATATTAGTGATTCCATCCAGGATAGGAGGGATTTTTTTTGAAACATCTATACATACATATACGTATATTGACTTAAATATATGTAAACATATGCTTGTATGATGACAAATGTATATTAAAATTTTATGGCGGTAAAAGGCTCTTAACTGCTTGAAAGTCGTTCAGATTTCTGATGGCCATTTCGATTTGCAAGTTTTCAACAAAATGGAGACTTTTTAATCATTATGTAGTTTGAAAATTCACAGATTTTCGAATTAATAAGATTTGTAAATTATTGTTTTACTTACATTTTTACAATTTGAACTAACATCAAAAATTGTTCATTTTTTGGATAGTAAATGTGAAATTTATTAGAATACATTTTCGTTTAATGAACTTTTAATGTTGGTTGAAAATAGGAAAAGAAACAATTCTAGCAAATGCTCATCAGTGATAAGCATTTGTAATTCTACTAAAAAGCTGTTCTCACCTGCGCGATTTTTCAAATAGCGAAACGAAATGTAAAGAACAGGATATTTCTCCATACTTTCTAAACCAATTTTTCGATCAAGTGAATTTCTGAACTGCCATGAATCTTGAAATTCATGGCAGTAATTTTGCATCTACGGAAAATAGTGTTGCAAATATAGCGAAAAGCCCACAATATTTTTTGTTCAAATTCTAAGTTGATGAAGCGTATTTGTTCCCTAACTTGGTGTGACGTCTGACTGCAACGACAACATAGATTTTTGTTTTAAACTGTTCCATTTGGGATATGAGAATAAGATAATACGTGTTATTAATTAGTAGACCTTTAGACGAGCATTAATCCATTAATCACACCTACATGGCTAACAATATCGACGAGGCAAGAAGGTAGAAGAAAAAAAAAATTAGAAATATTAGTTAATTTTTTTCATTTCCAAATAATTTTTATTTTACGTCGATTTTTATGTTTTTGTGTTTTGTATTTCAGGTGCATAACCCTTTAACAACGAAACCTTATGTGGCGGTGAAAGGCAGAGTTGCGGTTTTTTACATAATTATTGAAGATTCGTTTTATATATTATTTTAAAAAATTTTGAGTAAAACGATTTTCACACTGATTTTTAAGGTAAAATAATTTTAAATTTTATTAAACTTATTTTTAATTATTTTTCATATTTTCACAAAAAACGTTTTTGTATAGGGAATCATGTACTTACTTATTTTTAGCACTTTTCCAAACATTTTTTGAATGTCTGATATTTCATATCTAAATAGACATTTACTAGAGACCTCTTTCCGTAGGAAAAAGTTTATACCTATCTCCCCCCCTTTATATGTTATAGCTCCGCAAAACTCGAAAAATGGCAGTTTTTAACTATTTATTGCAGTGAAATCATAAGCATTTTACAAATTTTGCGAAAGCACAAAAGTAGTGGCTGGCTTCTTCCACTGCGACCTACCATATTTGAATTTTACAAAAACATTATGGCTGTTAAAATTTACCGTTGCCTAAAACCCTTTTTTACCAAATTTTTGATATCATTTTCCTTCTAGACAGACAGGTTTGGGGATCTGAAATTTTTAGAAGAAGCAGTTTTTAGACACTAATAACAAGTTCATTTTGTTAGAAGAAAATTTTTTTCTAGCTCCACCCCCTCTTAAGTTATTATCTCACGAAATTAGTAAAATTCGAATTTTTGGTACCTTATAAGATTTTCAATTTTTTGAAGTAAAAGTTAATACATCTATATATGTATATCTATATATTATGTTTGTCTTTATTTAATATGTATCTTTATTTAATATCTACATGAAATTATGTTTTAAACACTTTTTTTTAAAGTTTTAAAATTTTTGAGGATTTGAAAAACATTTCTAAGTAAGGTTCAAAAAAAAATTTGCGTCTATGAAATTTTTTTCTAAATAATTGTGATAAAGGGTCATTCGTCGAAATTGTATGGAGAAGGGTACGTTTAAAAGCCTAGGAAAAAATTTGGGAATGATTTGCGGAAAAATCTATTTTTTAAATTAAACTAATGATTGGGACCTTAAAAAACATCCGAGTTTCAGTGCGACAAAGAGACTATACAAGTACTACGCTAGCTTCCCAGAATTGTGCAGCATAAAACTTGTTCGAAATTTTTTAATCGTTACCATATCTCTCATGTTTGTGTTTTTAAGAAATAAAGCTTATGCAATAAAATCATAAAGAACAAATAAAAGAAATATGTGGCAAATATACAAAAATATTTCTGATACAAAAATAACTGAATCAGCGTACGAACAAATTTAGAAATCTAAATTATGTGACAATTAATTTATTATAAAAATTTCCACATAATCATTAAAATTTCAATAACTTTGACCAAGGAAAATAAAAAAACAAGTAAAAGCCTTTCAGTTGGCACAAACAAACAAAATTGTACCCTGTACATATATACCTTGACAATCTGAGTTTAAAAATTTGTTTTTGAAATACCTGAAGTTGTATATCAATTACTCGAATCTATCAGACCACTCTATAGAAACTTCACAGATATGTCTGACTTATAATTAGACTCAAGATTGCCAAGTTTCATAAATCTAACTTAATTATTTTCCCAAATATTTAAAATTTTCTTTTGGAGTGGTAAGGCAGCTATCCGAATCAGTGTTGGAATATCATTAATATTTTCAGTGTATGTGTAGACACACTCTTACAAAATTTGGTCCAATTACAATAGCAGACTCCCTTAACAGAAAAGAAACAACTTGTTTTTGAGTTTTCATGCGATCGACGGGCGGATGGACATGTCTAAATCAACGTCAAGTTTTGTGCTTAATATGAGTATATATATACATTTTCATACCGGAGACGACTCCTTTAAGTGGTTATGGACTCCATACCAAAGTTAATATAAATCACGAAGATGTGTATAAGGCAATAATAAATGAGATTTTAGAAATTGGAAAAAAACTCTTTTTTGTATTTAACCAGATTTCTGTTTAACGGAAGTTTTTTTTTTAATTTGCGGAAAAAAAATTCATAAAAATAAATTACGCGAAGAATATCTTAAATCTTCGATCTTTGCAAATACTTTCTTTCTTTAAATTTCTTAAATTAAATTTAAAGTGCTTTATTAATTAAATATTATAATAGGGCTGATCTCAGCACACTGGTGGGGGTCCTGACGGGGCATTGTCTTTTGGGGAAAACGGCCAGGAGGCTTGGGGTTGTTATGACGGATGTATGTCGTGGATGTCGGGATGTGGCGGAGGTGGTGGATGTAGAGCACGTCCTCTGTGCCTGTCCGTTTCTGATGTGGAAGAGAAGGCGTGTTATGGGGGCTTATGTTTACGATGGCCTGGGGGACCTTTCCGAGGTGTCTCTTGCGCGGCTTTTGGGCTTCGCCAGGGAGGTTGGCTGGTTTGGATAGGCTGGCTGGTTTGTGTGTTAAAAATTTGTGTCCAAAAAATGTAATTGTGCCATTGCAAGTTTTCTTTGTATTTTTCTAAATAAAAACCATTAAACAAGTTTTATCCTTAAGAAGAAAAAGTTCATCCCTAAATTAAGACTATATCACAAACGCACTTAAGGTATTGCTGACAATACTTTGATTACATTTACATAATATATGTGCTTACAATCGCAATAAAATGAAATTTGGAGTAAACTATTCGAAGTTAAACATGAACCAGTATTGAGAAAACAGTTTTTAACACTGAGTTTGTTCTCTTTACATACCTAAATTTTGTTATGTTTTTGGCTAAATCTGTTTAAACATTTAAATTCTGATTAGAAAGGAAAAATATTGAAATATTTTAATAATATATAGAGTAAATTTGACCGTGAATTTCCCTAAATAGTTTTTACATTTATTTAAATTCATCGTAAAACTTAACCTAATTTCCGCATTCGATTTAAAAAAAAATCTGATGTGGTCAGCACATAACCGAACGCAATGTGTATTGTCTAGTTAAGTGAAAGTGTTACAGAATATTATAAAAATGTCTTTTAAATACTTCTTTCCAATTTTTAGGACATTAGTAAGCTTATAGTTAACATACTCAGAAAAATGTAAATTTGGCTCTTAGTAGCGTTTCGCTTTGCGCTACCCGAATTTCCTGAAATGCTCGCCAGTTAGTTTCGGTAACAACCAGAACTCAAATATTAAATTTCAAGAAATTCCATCAATTCGTTCCGTAGGTATTGTGAAAAATGTAAAATCGGCCCGCAGATCAGTTTTCGAGCCCTGATCTTTCCAAAAAATTTATATGTTCATTGTTTTAACACGAAGAATTTAAATATTAAATTTCAATGAAATCGGTTCATTATTTCTCTTTATATACACAAAAATGTATATTTGGCCCGTAGTAAACGTCCAGTTGCTGAGGCCTGATTTTTTCCAAAAGTTAGGAGGTTTCGCGGACGGTCGAGCTGAGCTTACATATAAAATTTCAAGTAAATCGATTGAATATTTTCTTCAAAATGTTGAAAAATGTAAAACAGGCCCGCAAAAAAGTGCAGTTCCCGAGGCTTGATATATACCAAAAGTTGATCATTCCATGCCATGGTGGAAATAAACTTGTATATAAAATTTCATCAAAATCGGTTCAGCCGAACTTGAGATACACGCGTGCACACACAGACCGACAGACCGACACACCGACAGACTCACAGACCGACAGACCGAAAGACCGACGGACCGACAGGTTGCTAAAAATAGTTTACTTACACTTCCCTACTATGGAGAAGTGCATTCCCACCGAAAACTCGATATGCAAAATTTGTTGCCATCACATAACCTACCTATTGTTTACGCAATACGGTCGGTAATAAATAACAAAAAACTATGCTTACATGTGGTGAAACTTCATAAAACTGCACTTCATATTCTTAGGTAGTTTTTTAATAAGTCTAATATTATTAGAATTCGTTCCATATTTACCGTAACTTTGGCTCGTGACCAAAAAATTTATTTATTTCTCTAGCATATTAATATTTATGTGCATTTGTGCATACACTCTTGTACTTGTAATATATCTATAATACAGGGTTTTTCACAAGCTTTTAAATACATTTTACACGTTTTACTGGAAAAACTATGAGATGTAGAGGAAAATGTTATATGGGTTAACTTTTCTTATTGTAGCGCATCGAAAAAAAGAACAAAACAAAAGAAATAAAAAAAATTTTCGAGAACTTTCGAGTTTTAAAAAAAAAATAACAAAAGTACTGACTTTGACGAGCTGTATCTGGAAAACTATGGCTCAAATTAAATGAAGTGCAAAAATAAAGAACAATCAATAGCCTGTAAAGCAAGCTTCCTATGATGTATGGTTCTACCTCTATGTTGTATAAAATGAATAAAAAAATGAATATTATCAGGAAAAGTCGGGTATCATTTTTTTAACAGGCTGTACCTCGAAGACGAATATATCTGCAACCTCCCACCCTCTTTCCGCCCATACAATTTTTGCTGGAAATTGATCAAAGAATCATCCATGAAATTATTTGTCACCTTGTACAATAGTAAATTTTGATCAATTGCTTGCTTACAAGCAATTCTAATAAGAGTTTTTGTTTCTATTTTGATAGCTGCATTATATTTGTATTGCGCTTTTATTCAATAAAATACTTGACGGATAAGAAAATACAAATGTGGAAAGTAGGTGTAACTTGGTATAAATATATAAAATCGTTACATATAGAATTTTTAATTTTAATTTAAAATTGCAAATTTTAATGTTGTGTAAAATTTTTGAAAAACTAAAATTTGTTTTTGATTGCAACTACATGTGTATGTATGTGTGTATTATTTTATAATTTGTTGATTTACTTTTACATTTTTACGGTGTAACAATGAAAAGTAAAATCTAGAACATTCTAAGAATCAAAAAATAAGAATTTTAATAATAATAACCGAAAGAATCTGATGTTTTAGTTCTTTAGAATTGCTCATGAAAATAACTTTAAAATAAAATTTATGAAAATTTTCCCAGAGTCTCTTAAATTTTAATGATCTATACAATTAGAACTACATATATGCACTGTTAACATTCATGATACATAAAAACGATAATTTAAATTCATAGATGAGTAATCAATTTTAATTTGATTTGAAGTTCAATTTTCATGAATATAAA